TCTCAGGCTGATTGCAGGTATTGCGCTTCCCACCCGGGGCAGCATCGTCCGCCGCGCGCGGGTTTCGTTTCCCGTGGGGCACGCCGGCGGCATCTGGCCGGAAATATCGGTTCGACAGAACGTCGCCTACGTCGCAAGGCTCTATGGCGCCAGCGTACCAGAGGTGCTCAGGTTCGTTCAGGAGGTGACCCGGCTCGGCCCCAAGTTCGACCGGCCCTACATGGAACTGGACAGGCCCACTCGCGCCCTTATCAACCTCGTCATCGCCTACAGCATTCCCTTCGACACCTATCTGATCGATCAGTCGGTCGCGCGCGGTGACAGCGACATGAGGGCGATATCGGCAACCCTTTTCAAGGCGCGCATGCAGACTTCCGGCGCGATCATCACGACGCGGCAGGTCGAAACGGCCCGGCAATACTGCGACATGGCGGCCGTCCTCCACAATGGCCGCCTGACCTTGTTCGAGGACCTTGAGCGGGGAATCGACATCTTCAACAAGGTCAAAGCAGCCGCTACCCAGCAGCCTCAACCCGAGTGACGACATCATGCCTGCGTGGTAACTAGCCCCCAAACAAGCAGGCTCGTCTCTGAACAGGATGAGACTTCAGCCCTCTCATCGTAGCCGGAGTGAAAAATGGCGAATCTTGAATCCCCCCAAGTGTCTGAGGAAGACGAAGGTGCGGCGGCTTTTGGCCCGCGATATCTGCGCCAGATCGCTCCCGACGTCGCGACGATCATCGACGTGGGCGTCCACAAGGGGACCAAGACTCTTTACGATTCCTTTTCGCATCTCCCCTTCATCCTGATCGACCCGCAGCGGGGCTGCGAGGCGATGATGGAGCACAAGCCGAAGGATTATACCTTCGTCAACAAGGCCGTCGGAGCAGGCCCCGGCGTGCTAAAGCTCAATGTCCAGGGCGCGAAATCCAGCTTCGTTGAACGCACGGAGCTCACGCGCAGGAATGGGCCGTCGGAAAGCTACGAAGTCGACGTGACCACGCTCGACGCCGTGATTGAGGAACTCAATCCGGCCAGGCCCATCGGCTTGAAGATCGACACCGAAGGATTCGAAGTCGAAGTCCTCAAAGGTCTCAACAAGTACTCCGCCGACATTGCTTTCGTGATCTGCGAAGTAAGCGTCCGCCGGCGCTTCATCAACCCCTACAAGTTCAGCGATGTGATCCTGTCGATGAGGGATAGAGGGCTGGAATTCTACACGGTCCTGAACGAAGTAAAGCGGCGTCCCCGCTTCTACGACGTGCTGTTTTTGCCGCCAAACCACCCTTATTTCGACTAGGGGCGTCCCGACATCGGGCGGCGGCGAGACCAGGCGGCGTCCTGCTCCCGGCTTTCTTGACTGGCACTCGCATGGGGGCCTAGAGTCGCGCGCGGGGGCCTTGAAATCAGAGCTAGAAGTAGTTTTTAGAGCTTTTGGGCTCGACTGACCAGGCAGGGTGGGAATGAACTTCATTGACGTGGCGCTCAGCACTTGGGCTCCGAGCGTTAACGCTTATCTCTTTCGGCCGGGCCCGCGTCATCGGCTGGACCGTGACGTGAACTATGAAGATCGATTCGATCACACGACCATTATCTACGATGCCTTCTGGTCCGAGGACGGCAGTGAAATCCTGATGGTTTGTCCGCCCCCCGAGAATTTGAAGGGTGGCGCATTCGCTGGAAACATCTACGAAGTTCCGTCGGGCAAGCCGTGTGAGATCGAAGTGGTCAACACGGGCCCCGTCTACATCATGCACGTCCGTGTTTCAGAGAACACGCGAGGCCTGAAGATCGAGTTTCCGCTGGGAACGTATTTTGTCGCGCCGCAGCCCAATCATTGCGCGGAGCTTGCGGGCGGGCGGTACCTGATCGCACACAACAAGAATAACGCCCTCCACTGGATCCGCGACTGGGTCCACTTCCATGTGGAAATGCATGGCTGTACGGGAGTGCTGTTCTACGACAACGGATCGAGCAAGTACGGCAAGTACGACATTCGCGCCGCGCTCGAAACGGTTCCCCGCCTGGAGCATGCGGTACTCGTCGAT